GACTTGAATCCAAATTCCTCGTTTAGTTTAGTTTAGTTTAGTTTAGTTTAGTTTAGTTTAGTTTAGTTTAGTTAAGTTTAGTTTAGTTTAGTTTAGTTTAGTTTAGTTTAGTTTTAGTAAATGTTTAAGGTACAGTACTTGTAAGACAAATAGGTCATATTAGTGCTGAAGATCAGAGTTGTTACATTAGAATTATTATGATCAAGGACTAAACACTGTCTTTGTAGACTAAGGAAACTTTTCGACCGAGTAGACGGAAACAAAATAACTGTGGACAGTGCTGGAAAAACACGGAATTAGTGGAAATCCAGTGGACAGCATTTTGACACAATTATGAAAACAGTAAAATAATACCAAGAAAACCACATGAAAAAAACACAATTATTGTTCCACGTAAGATCCGGAGTAAGACAAGGTAGGGTGCTACCTTCTTTATTATCTATAACATACACGGACAAAACATCAGCAGATGTTATACCTAAAGACAACACAATCAACGAGCTTCTTTTCGCCGATGATCTGAGTATACTAAACGACAATGAGAGGACCCTTCAAGAACGTATAAACAAACTGAACGAAAACTGCAAAAATCGCAGCATGATAATAAGCACGAGCAAATCCGAGGCGGTGAAAATCAGCAAAACATCAGGTCCACTAAACATTACAGTCGACAACAACAAAATCAAGCGAGTAGAATAGTTTAATTAATTACCTGGGAAGCGTGTTCATCCAAGACGGAAGGATGGACAGAGAAAAAGAAACCAGAATCTAAGAAAGGGCCAATACATGTACTGTGACTTACCAACTGACACCTTTGCTTTCACAGCCGAATATCACAGAGGAAACAAAGCGCCAACTCATTACCAGCATCCATCTTCATACTAACACTTTCTCCCAAGCTCAAACATGGACAACGAACAAGAGTAACCTTCGTTTAGTTTTTGTAAGAGTTTAACAGCACTTGCAACTCAATAAGTTCATATAAGTACCGAAGATTAGAAGTGTTACACAAAAGTAACAAGAGTTACCAAAGTAAAGTCAACGCCAGTGAAATGAGGTACAATATACCTAAGAAAAACTTTGAAAAACCACTAGTAACTAGTAGAGTCAGAGTGAGAAACGAGATTGTCAGAGCAAGACAAGAGATGCTTGCTTTTCCTTTCAACATCGCAATGTAACCGCTAGAGGCCAGGGAAAGACGAGAAAAGTAGAAGTATAATATAAGAATAGGGGTGTTACTCGAGAGTAGTATACAAAGAAAAGATGGAGGGGGGGGGGGGACTAAATAAGAACTATAGATAAAAATTAGTGAAAGAAAGAGCAAACCACACCGGAGCACCCACCAACCACCCTCCTAGTTAATCATATCAAATGTAACAGAACAATCTTCATCTACCTATGTGAACTCATCTAACAGTATAGAGCAACTTTCTTGAAAGACTTTTACTTTTCTTTTGCTTTGGGGTGGAGGCGG